CGCAACATTTTCCCTTAAGTACCCCACTTACAGCACTTACTGCTCTACAGTTTCCACCCTGCAGTCACACAAGGTTTTGAAAATCTCTCAGACAGGTGTAGGTAAATTGGAGGGTTTCAGCTGAATCCTTTTTCTCCTCCATGACTAGTCAGACATGTTTATCTTTCTGCATCATTAGCCTGTGGGCAAATATGGATCTGCAGCATTAACCTTCCAGTTGAGGCTTAGGAGCATTTTCTTTTGCAAAGGTTAAAAACTCTAATTGTACAACCACTGCAGTTTGAAATCTACAGTCTGTGGAATGAAGCCCCATTTAGTTCAGTGCCTGAGCTAGACAGGGAGTGTGTGGAAGAGGTAAGGACTTTAGTTTGTCTCGTGAGAGATCCACATTGGGCCCATTGCACTTTAGCAATTGTCCTTCCATGTTGTATCTTAAAAGATAAATCTTAGATATAGAGTAGGTGCCTGGCACTCATCCCTCGGGGATAGTTGTCTATGAAGTGCTCTCTGCACTATGGTTTTGTATATGTGCACCGCTGGTCTTTAGAGGGGTGCGATTTAGTACTGGCAGGCAATTTTTTTTTTTATGCTTCAGTCATCCAGTGCCAGATACGTGTAGCTTTGGCTATATGTACATCGCTGTTGCTGGTATGATTGCACCACATGGGGCCTAGCCAGACGTAACACTTGCCTATATATCCCTGTAACAGCTCATGCTGGATCACCTGTAACTTTATATCTGCAAGCTCCTATGACAAGTAAAGCAAAACCATTATGACTTCAATCCTGTTTCATATACAGTTCCTATAGCAAACTGTATCGCTAGTGGAATTTGCGGGTGTAAGGGTTACTGAAACAGCGGATGCCCTCCCGAGTGGCAACTGCCCTTCCCCTTTAAAGGGGTGAAGTTCTGTCTGACCACAGGCATGCTAGCAAGATTGGACTCCAGTTATAGAGAAAGGGACCATGGGTTTCAGGTGTGTAGTGTGGTAGGTGGCCTTCAGCTTTGCTGCTCTTGGTGCTAGAGCTAGCTGAAGTAAAGCTGGTTCAGGTGTGTCTGACTTCAGGAGATTCACACGCCCTTGGTGAAAGTGAATGCTCTGCTGTGTCTGACAGCTGAAAGAGAGAGGGAACAAACGTGGATTCCTTGGTTCTTAATGTGGATTGAAATGTCTGTCACTTGACTGAGAGGATCTCATTTCTGGAACTTGCATGGAAATGTCCTTGTTCAGGAGTGTGCTGTCTTCTCAAGAGCCTTTGCAGGTAGGTTTGGGAGGCGGAGGTAATTTGTGGCAGCTCCTTATCTCACTGGCAGAGCTTTTGCTTCTGTCTGGATGTCTGTGGGGACATCTGTGCTGTTAGAGAAGTTTCAACTCCTCAATTTAGAGCAGTTGCAGGGGTCTTTAGAAGGAGCAACTTAAGGAGAATATTTATCATAACCTGTTAACTCTCCCTTTACTCTGTCATTTGAAATGGGTTTTATCCCTTCCTCATAGAGTTGCCAATGCCAACCCTCCCGGCTTGGCTGGGAGTCTACCAGAATTGGCATCAATCTCCTGGTGACTATTGAAAGCAATCTGGGAGATTGATATGTTGGCTACAAATGTCCAACTCGGGATCCTTAAAATTCTGGTTTATTAGGTGGATTGAAACACTGTAATGAGTTAAATCATAAACCTTGGGGCTGACGCACGCAAGCTACAAGAGTCAGGTATCCCTATCCCACAGGCGCTGGAGTCTGTCGTTGAGGCTTCTTTCAGCGTGGTGTTATCTTCCAGAAGGGGGTCACCGGCTGGTCCTTCTGGTTGGACAGGTCGGGTGCTGGTCAAGATGGAGATCAAGAGGGTGCCACTGAGGGTCACTTTTCACTGCTTTTTATCTGTCCTTAGCAGGGGTTGTTGACCCTCATGGGGCTTCCCCCCCTCGGTGGCTACTGGATGGCATCTGTCAGCCCCAGGGGTCGTCCGCATGTACGTGCAGGTTTGGGAGGCTTTTGATGAATTTCGAATAGGGCTCTGGGAGCGGCCGATCTGGAGATATTCATCCCAAAAGTTGGTCCCCGGCGTTGATTAACTCAG